AGAGGACATAGCATTCCAGAGAGTGGCCCGCAGCAAGTGCGGAGCACTTAGGGTGGGATCGGTGGGGTTGGACCCCAAGGCCGAAACCCTAAAACCCTCACAGCCCGAACGCTGCACAACCCCAAAAAAGACCCCCAAAGCCCTGAAAACCTGAAACCTTAAAGCTCCCAAACCCAAAACCCTGAAGTGTAAGGTTCGCAGTTTGGGGTTTTGGGGTTCCTTGGCGCCTAAACCCTAAACCCTAAAACCCTGAAGCCCCAAAACAAATTTTCTGACCTCTGGCGAGGACGTGCCAGGGGAGGCGGTTGCCTCACTGAGAGCCAGGTGCGCATTGGGGGGGGGGGTGGCCGGAAGACCCCAACAAAACCCAGAGACGGGGTTTAAGGTAACAGCTTTAGGGATTTTAAGGTTTAGCGGCCATAGGGGCCGAGGGTTTAGGTCTTAAGGTAAACGATTCAGAGGTTTGAAGGTTTACGGCTCTTGGGGCTTCGGAGGATTTCAGAGGTTTGGGGGCGAATGCCCTAAACCATCCCTAAACCCCAGCTAAGGGCGTCACGGTTTCAGAGCCTTGCTTCGCTTTCTGAGGGCAAAGCGGCTTCGGAGGCTGGCTTCGCTCATTCTTTGGGGCTTGATCGGAAGACGAAGAACCCTAAACCCTAAACCCTAAACCCTAAACCCTAAACCCTAAACCCTAAACCCTAAACCCTAAACCCTAAACCCTAAACCCTAAACCCCAAACCCTAAACCCTAAACCCTAAACCCTGAACCCTCATCCAGGGTGGAGGAGTTTGCCACCACCGCGGCGGCCGTTTGCAACGCGGGGGTCGTTCCTGCAACCGCGAGGGAGGACTGACCTGTCTGGGGGGAGTTTAGGGTTTAGGGTTTAGGGTTAGGGGCCTTGATGACATTGTAGGTTCATGGGTAGTCCTACGTGTGGTTTCAAGTTCCTGCCGCACCTACACCCTACGCAGCCACTTATAGATAGCAGCCATGACAAAAGTTGCTTTCAGCCCTCCCTGTATCTATATCGTCTCTGCCCTTGTGGTTAGCTTGATGCATACATTCCCCCATGTCCTTTACTACCCAAAGCTCCTGAACGGCCGCCGTCCTCGGCGGGCAGGCTAGGTTTCCCTCAGAGATTGAGCATAGGGAGACTCTCTGACAGTCGCTGCCTGGCGTCCCCACCCATAGACCTTAAACCGACGAACCCTAAATCCCTGCACCCCCCCCCCCCCCCCAACAAAAAAAAAAAAAACGAAAGCACAAACACACACAAAGCCAGAAACTCGTGAACCCACACACCCATTATCCCTTCAACCCATCAAACCCCGTAAACCCACGAAGCTTCAAAGCTTGGACCCCGACAGCGGCAGGACTACCTCATACAGGGCGGGGACACCGTCGACGTGCCCCTGGGCTCTGACCTTCCCTTTCAACCTCCCGTGCCCTGAATACTTGACCTTAGAGTTTAGGGTTTGGGGTTTAGGGTTCAGGGTTTAGGGCTTAGGGTTCAGGGTTTAGGGTGAAGTTCAGGGTTTAGGGGTTCAGGGTTTGAGGTTTCAAGGTTTAGGGGGTGAAGTTGTAAGAACAGCCCCAGACCCCTCAACCCAGAAGGCCCAAGGGTTCGGGGTTTAGGCTTTTAAGGTCCCCTAAACCCTATCCAAGCGCTGATGGAGAATTTTCCCTTCATGTCTGCCATAGCTGCCCCATCCAACTCGCATCCTACGCCCTAAAGCCCAAAAAGCCCTATACCCTCAATCCTTAGACCTTGAACCCTAAGCCCTAAGCCCTAAGCCCTAAACCCTAAACCCTAAACCCTAAACCCTAAACCCTAAACCCTAAATCCTCAAGCCCTACTCTTCCCAAAGGAATGCGCAGCTCACAGAAGATGACTGCACCAGCTGGATCGACACCCTCTCCCGAGCCAGGTCCACTCTCTGAGGGGGGTTTTGGGAGGGTTTCTGGGCTTAAGGTTTGGGGTCCTAGCCCTAAACCCTAAACCCTAAACCCTAAACCCTAAACCCTAAACCCTAAACCCTAAACCCTAAACCCTAAACCCTAAACCCTAAACCCTAAACCCTAAACCCTAAACCCTAAGCCCTAAACCCTAAACCCTAAACCCTAAACCCTAAACCCTAATGGGCCAGGCTTGTTTTAAGGTTCACGGCTTTCAGTGTTTTCATTCGGGGTCGTCGGGGCTCATAAGGCCGCAAGCAGGTTGTAGCATTTAAGGTTGTGGGGTTTCAGGGTTCAGGGCTTTGGATTGTAGGGTTTAAGGTTAAGGGGCAGTTAGAAAAGTTTTAAGCCTGCGTCCGGAGTCGGAGCTGAGCAAGACTTTTCGCAGCTGGTGCGAAGAACAGCACCGCTGGGCAGTGGCCAGGTCCAAGAGCTTGATCAGTGGTGCCAGAAACTTACGACAGCAGAGCTGGAACAGGTGATGGCAAGGGTGGGTCGGGCCACGCTGGTAAGGGGCCGGATTTGGCCCTGGCTTTTTGGAGGAGCCCGTATGTGCTGCGGATGAGGGCTCGCATTTGCACACGCGCAAAAAAAACATTGCTCCGATGATGAGACCCGAGGCGAAGAGGAGCTGGAACACGTGAGACTTGGGGATTGGCTGCCTGATGAAGCCACGCTGAGCCCGAGACGTTAAACAGAATGGCGAGCAGGGGTCTTCAGGGTGTAGTATTGAGGGTTCAAGGTTTCGGATTTGTTCCTCCGAAGGAGTTCGGACTTTTACCGTTGTAAACTGTAAACCCTAAACCGTGAGCCTTAAACCTGACTCTTAAAATATATAATAAACATTTAGTAAACAAAAGTGGTCGCCAAATAATACATAAACGTCCATGCCACATAACCCTCTAGCGCCATAACCCTAGAACCCTATAACCCTGCAACCCTACAACCTTAGAAAACCCCGGAACCCTATGACCCTAAACCCGAAACCCTACGTGCATGACGCCTTTGTTTCGCAGCGGACTTGCTGGCCCGCGAAGATGCCGAACCTTCGGGGATTGAGGCTCTTGGGTGCTTGCGGGGCGCAGGTGCCCCTTCCGTAGGCCGTAAACTGTAGTTCGGGCTGTGTGGGAACCTTGACGCCTAAACCCTAAACCCTAAACCCTAAACCCTAAACCCTAAACCCTAAACCCTAAACCCTAAACCCTAAACCCTAAACCCTAAACCTTAATCCCTAAACCCTAAACCCTAAACCCTAAACCCTAAACCCTGTGTGGGAACCTTGAAGCCTATACTTTAAGCCCGAAGCTCTAAACCCTCTGCCTTACGCACCAGAGCCTGCCTTGCCAGGATGATGCTGATCTACTTCTTCGGCAAGGCCGCCGATGACGGTTTGGGGTTTGGGGTTTGGGGTTTAGGGTTTGGGGTTTAGGGTTTAGGGTTTAGGGTTTAGGGTTTAGGGTTTAGGCTTGCTTCCGAGTCCTAAGCCCGAAGCCCATGTCACACCAAACCCCGAACCCTCTCAGGCCTAAACCCTAAACTTGGTAGCCCAGTGGTACCCTTTACTCCCCTTTTTTTGTTGGTTCTGGTTTCCCATATCAATTGTCCCCCAAGCCAACGGAAGCCCCCAAGTCGAAGTCCCCAAGCCCCAGAGAACTCGCAAAAACGCTCCCTGAATGCCCTCTTTCCGTGGGTTAGCGGCTGTGGGTTGCCATACAGTACCTACGAATAACAACCTCGGGCCCTAAACCCTAAACCCCAAACCCCAAACCCCAAACCCTAAACCCTAAACCCTAAACCCTAAGCCCTAAACCCTAAACCCTAAGCCCTAAACCCTAAACCCTAACCCCTAAACCCATAACCCATCCTAAACCGGTTTGAGTTCAGGGCGGGGTTCGGGCTGTTAGAGCATCGGGTCAGGATTTACGACTCCGAGGGTTTAATGAGCCGTAAGCCCTAAACCCTAAACCCTAAACCCTAAACCCTGAACCCTAAACCCTAAACCCTAAACCCCAAATGCCCGTAACACCCTAGCCATTTTTTACCTAAGCCCGAAGCCCTAAGCCCTAAGCCCTAAGCCCAAAGCCCTAAGCCCTAAGCCCTAAGCGCTAAGCGCTAAGCGCTAAGCGCTAAGCCCTAAGCCCTACGCCCTAAGCCCTAAGCCCGAAGCCCGAAGCCCGAAGCCCGAAGCCCGAAGCCCCGAAGCCCCGAAGCCCCGAAGCCCCGAAGCCCCTAAGCCCCGAAGCCCCTTAAGCCCCTAAGCCCCGCCCCTAAGCCCCTAAGCCCCTAAGCCCCTAAGCCCCTAAGCCCTTAAGCCCCTAAGCCCCTAAGCCCCTAAGCCCCCCCTAAGCCCCTAAGCCCCTAAGCCCCTAAGCCCCTAAGCCCCTAAGCCCCTAAGCCCCTAAGCCCCTAAGCCCCTAAGCCCCTAAGCCCCTAAGCCCTAAAACAAACAAACCTAAAGCCCTAAGCCCTACGCCCTGAGTCCTCAACCCGAAGCAAGTCCGTTGAGGGTTAGGGTTCCAATGCCCCAAAAAAGCTTCTACACCCTAAACCCTAAACCCTAAACCCTGGAACCCCAGAAGCCATTGGATGCGGCATCCTCCCTCGGCCACGGTGACCTGGAAAGCCACAGAAGCGACACCCAGAAACCCGAAAGCTACTCTTCCATCCATTATATACTTTATATCTATATGTATATGTATATATATATATACATACATACATGCAACGTGATACATAGCCCGAACCTAAACCTAAATCCAGTCTAAATTGGGGGGGTCAGTGAAGTCTGAAGATTTAGGATTGAGTGCTGGCCCAGGACTAGGCGCAGGCACCAAGTTGGAAGGGAAACGCGCGTTGAATGCCTTGCTGCGGCCTGTTACCATACCCGAAGGTGACGTCGTCCTGACTCCCAAGCCTATGAACAAGTACGAATCTGGCATTCCTCGCCGCAGGCTGTTCCCGCTGGACTATGAATTTCGCGGACTTTTCGAGGTTGTGGAAACTGCTGCAAAGCCCTTCTGCAACATTCCGAATACTCGTCCGTCATGAAGAGCTTGAAGCACACTTTCTTGCAGCGTATGAGGCTGATTCACCACCTTGCTAAAGGTGGCGCCGTTGCCACCTTGGATGCATCGGCCTGGGACGAGCACCACACCGCCGACGAACTCAACTTGACCGTTCAAGTGATCGTTGAGATGGTGAAAGTCTTCGATATTGCTGTTGGCGCCGAGCTAGCTAAGGTAGCTGCTACGCTTGAAAACCTCCTAAACCCCGAAATCCTGAACCCTAAACCCCAAACCCCAAACCCTAAACCCTAAACCCGAATCCCGAAACCCTAAACCCGAAACCCTAAACCCTAAACCCTAGACTCACCCCCAGAGTTCCGAGCCCTAAAAGCCCTCGACCCTAATCCCTAGAAAGCCTCATTTAGGGTCCAGGGTTTAGGGTTTACAGTTCAGGGTTTAGGGTTTGCTGTTTAGGGTCCAGGGTTTAGGGCTTAGAGTTTAGGGTTTAGGGTTTGCTGTTCAGGGTCTAGGGTTTAGGGTTCAGGTTTAGGGTCCAGTGTTTAGGGTTCAGCGTTCAGGGTTTAGGGTTTAGGGTTGAGGGTTTGTGAAGCCAGAACCCCAAGAAAACCAATGAATCCAGAAGCCCCCATGTTGCCGGGCAGGGGCAGGGAACCTTAGAGATCAAGCCGCACGAGGAGGACGAGGACAGAGAGGGAGGGCTCACATTCTGAACCCAAAACCCGCAACCCCCAAGTGGTTTCGGGTTAGGGCCCAGAAACCTTTAAACCCTAGAACCCCAAACCCTACAATGAAGACCTTTGGGCTCTGCTGCAGTTTGGGCTTGATGGCTTGGGTTTTTTGAGGGAATAGGGTTTGGGGCTTGGGGTGTCGGTTCGAGGTGTGGTTGAGGTTTAGGTTTTGAGGGCTTAGGGTTAGGGTGTGGGGATTGGAGGGTTTCCGATGCTGTCGATTGCTTGTGCCCTTAGAGTTTGAGGGTTTCGGGTGTAGGGTTTGCTTTTTACAGGGTTCAAGCATGAGATGCTTAGAATGTCCGGGAGAGCCGAACCCTGCATTTCAGACTCGAAAAGGCAAGGAAAGATGTGCACGAAAAGTGGTTCTAGGCCGAAAAGGGCTAGGCTTGGTCAGGTTAGGGTTTTTTTGCGTTTGGGACCCTGCAAGGAGGGTGGCTTTGCTGCTTTTGACGGCGCGGGGTGTGAGACGGTACTCGATGGTCTCCACAATCGGGTCACAGCTGCGCTTTGCAGATAGCGAAGCACTCGACACTATCACATCTTCCCTGAACCCTAAACCCTAAACCCAAAATCCTAAACCCTAACCCCTAAAAACCCGAAACCCAAAGTCCTCCCAAGCCCTTGCGAAAGGACATGGACTCTGTGGAATTTGTGACGGAGCCGGACGTGCTAATCATCCTCCAGGCCGGGATGGGTTTAGGGTTTAGGGTTTTGGGTTTCGGGTTTAGGGTTTCGGGTTGTGCGAAGGCCCCCTCCTCCCGCTGACCCTCTAAGGCGTTCACCTAGGGCTTAGGGTTTAGGGTTACCTGTTTGCCCCTGCCATGAAAACCCCCCTCTCTAGGCAAACTGCAGCCTAAAATGCGTAAAACACCGTGGGCCCTGTAAACCCCTAAACCCTGAACTCCCACCCTAAACCCTAAGCCGGCACCCTAAGCCCGAAACCGTAAAACCCAAACCCTAACCCTAAATCCTAAACCCTAAACCCTAAACCCTAAACCCTAAACCCTAAACCCTAAACCCTAAACCCTAAACCCTAAACCCTAAACCCTAAACCCTAAACCCTAAACCCTAAACCCTAAACCCTGTGTGGGAACCTTGAAGCCCCAAAACTAAACTCCCTAAGCCCCGAACCGTGGCCCGAAGCCTCATTGTCCACCCTTCTGCGAGTAGGCAGAGATCACCTACCACAAGCACGTCGCCGGGCCCGAACTGATCAATGGGGCTTCGATTTTCGGGTGTAGAGGGTTTAGGGTTTAGGGTTTGGGTTTAGGCTTTCATGCGTAGGGTTTAGGGTGTAGGATTTAGGGCTTCGATTTCGGCTTGTAGAGGGTTTAGGGTTGAGAGGGTGTAGTGTCTGGGGGTTGAAGCTACACTCAGGCCGTTTTGGATACCCTCAAGCACTAAAGCAGGAGGAGTATAACATGGTAGAGACACAGGAAGGCTCCGCAGCTTAGATTAACATGGCTCAGCATGCATCGGTTGGTAAAGCATTGGTGCTTTCCATCATGCATCGTCATCCTGGGTCCATACAGTTGCTGTTGGCAACCTTGCGCTAGCATGGGTATCATTTGGCAAGCCCCAAACCCTACGCCCCCGACACCCGAAGCCCTCGAAACCCTAAACCCTCACACCCAAAACCCTGAACCCCAAGCCCTCCAAACCCTAAACTTTGGTGGGGGAACCCCAAGGTCTCCACCCGCGCCATGTTCTCGATCGTGTCCTTCGTGCTAGACGAGGGGCCGCTGGGTTAGAGGGTTTGGAGGGGATTTGAATAGGTTGGCGGGCTGCCGTTTCATTCGTTTGGGCATGTGGGGGGTTCAGGGTTTTTGGTTCTTGAAGGAGGAGGTTGTTTTCTTGCTTCAATGCCAAGCCCAGTATATTCCTCTTTGCAAGGGCCCAAATGGGCACCCGAGTTAGTGTTAGCAAACCCCTAAACCCTAAACCTTAAACCGCACACCTCAGACCCTATATAAGCTTTCTGGGGCCCTGAAGCCACAGCTACAGGGCATTCGGACCCTCAAGGGCCACAGACCCAAAGCCGCAAAACCCTACATAAACCTGATCACCTGCCCCACCCTCCCCCCACCCCCACCATAAAACCCTAAGACCGTATCCCTAAAGCCCAATAACCGTAAAACGCTCAAGCCCCTAAACCCTCAACCCTAATGCCTAAATGCCTAAATGCCCAAAGCCGGAAGCCCCAAGCCTACAGCCGAAAGCCTAGACCCTAAGCGGCTCGAAGCCCTAAACCCTAAAGCCCCCCAAAGCCGCAGCCCGAAGCCCCAACCTACACCCGAAGCTCAGCCCCTGAGCCTCCCAGTCGGCCCCAAACCCTTCCTAAGCCCGAAGCCTTAAACCCTGAATCCTCAAACCCAAAACCCTAAACTGTAAACCCTAAACGCCAAACCCGAAACCCTAAACCCTAAATCCTAAACCCTAAACCCTAAACCCCGAAAGCCCGAGGCCCTAGGCCCTATACACTCCAAGCAGGCAGTCGAGCACGCGCGGCTGGACCGGTGGCATCACCAAGACCTTCGGTCTCGTGAGCCCGGCGGTGAAGGCTCGCACAGCTTAGGGCTTAGCACAGCTTGGGGCTTAGAGGGTTTCCACCCCAAATCCCTAACCTCTAAACTCTAGTAAAGCCTAGCCCTCCTCGCCATAGACAGCAGGATCGAGGGTGCTTTCGAGGGCTTCAGGGTTATATGGGGCTAGGGTGTAGGGTTTAGGGTTTAGGGTTTAGGGGTCCAGGGGTCAAGGCTTCGGGTGTTCGGGGGTGTTGTAAGAATCTTCAGTGTGTTAAAGGTTCAGATAGTATTCGGTTCTTGCAGCTTGCTCGGATGCTAGAAGTTGTCCTTAAGGGGCTAAGGGAGCAGAGGTTGGGGGCTCAGGTGGTGTGGGTAGCAAGCGGCCAGTAGACGACATTCTGGATGCTGCGCGTGGCTGCTCACCTCCAAATCCAAACCCTAAACCTTAAACCCTAAACCCTGAACCCTAAAACCCTAAACTTAAACCCTAAACCCTAAAACCCTAAAACCCTAAAACCCTAAAACCCTAAAACCCTAAAACCCTAAACCCTAAACCCTAAACCCCAAACCCTAAACCCCTGAGATCCAGAACCCTTAGATCCGCAGATCTCTTGGGAGGAGCTGCAGAATTGGTCCCAAGACCGCGTGGAGGAGCTCGTGGCGCTGCAAGCCGAAGATAAGCTTGAGGCCCTTCCCTGTTTTTAAATACATTCAGTTGTTTTTTGAACGGCTTTTTTAGTGACCTGAAGGGGTTTAGATTTTTTACAGGATGTTTTTGGTTTTTAGCCTTTTAGTGGGGGTTTTAGGGTTTGTTGTGGTTTCTAGGGTTTCTAGCTTCAGGTGAGGCAGCTTTTTATTTTGAGGGTTTTAGGGTTCTAGGGCTTAAGGGTTTTTCTTAGGTCCCCAAAGGGGACCCCTCAACCCTCTTCTGGTGCTCTTAAGGAGGGACATTACTGAGATGATCCCCAAGGGTCCCCCTCATCCTACCTCCTAGTTTTCGGGGTTGCAAAGATTCTTTCCTTTGAGGTCCCTTTTTTATGAGGGCTTAAGGGGGTGTTCAGGGTTCTTTAGGAAGCTGCCAGATATTGCGTGTATGAAGGAAGTTCTTTGGGGGGCATAACCCTAGCCCTTAATTGCAGGCCCCGCTGCCCCGCGAGTGGGAGCGGATGATCCACCACAGCTACTTCAAGACGGCCCCTTTGCTGCAAGGGTTCAGAGGGTTTATTTAGGGTTTAGGGTTTAGGGTTTAGGGGTTAGGGGTTAGGGTTGAGGCGTTTTACGAGTTGAGGGGTTTAGGGGTTTGGAGGTGGGGGTTGAGGGTTGAGGTCCTAAACCCTAAGCCCTAAAACCCTGCTGTAAACCCACCCTAAACCCTAAACCCTAAACCCTAAACCCTAAACCCTAAACCCTAAACCCTAAACCCTAAACCCTAAACCCTAAACCCTAAACCCTAAACCCTAATGTGGTATCCTGATTAGTGTGGGCCCCCCCCCCCCCCCCCCCCCCCCCCCCCCCCCCCGCCATAGTGTCACCAAAACCAAAAAAAGGGACCCCCCCCAAACTAATTTTCGGCCCCGGGCCCCCCCCCCCCACCGGCTCCTCTTCATTTCCTCTTCGCTCCTCTTCCCTCTCCTCTTCCTCTCCCTCTCCTCTCAGGTAATTAAGCTCAGGTAAGCTCAGATGAGCTCAGCTCAGGTAAGCTCAGGAAAGCTCAGGTAAGCTTAAAACCCATGCCCGAAAAACTTTACTTTATTGTGGGGGGGCAATCGAATTTTTGTCTCCTGATAAATTTTTGGAAAACTTTTCATTATTGGAGGGGTCCAGACTAATCAGGATACGACATTAAACCCTAAACCCTAAACCCTAAACCCTAAACCCTAAACCCTAAACCCTAAACCCTAAACCCTAAACCCTAAACCCTAAACCCCCAAGCGTTCCTGGAGCCCTCCAAGCCCCTAAAGGCTTCCAGCCGACTCACCAAAGCTGAACGAGGTTTTAGGGTTCAGGGTTTGTTCGGGTTTAGGGTGTTCGGGTTTAGGTTTAGGGTTTGAGGTTTGGGGTGCTAGAAGAGGATACCCGCGTCATCGGGGCTTAGAGTGAGGGGTAAGATCCCGTTATTAGAAGAGAAAGCCAGGGAAAGCCTAAACCCTAAACCCTCAACCCTAAGCCCTCAACCCTAAACCCTAAACCCTAAACCCTAAACCCTAAACCCTAAACCCTAAACCCTATTTCTCTACACCCTAAACCCTAAACCCCAAACCCTAAGCCCTAAACCCTAAACCCAGGCCCAAACTTCCTCAAGCGCCCCTACAACATGTGTGGGGCTGCCTTACCCTAAGCCCTAGGCCCGAAACCCTAGGCCTTCAACTCCCAAGTCCTAGGTCCTTAACCCTAGTGTTTAGGGTTTAGGGTTTAGGGTTTAGGGAGTAGAGAAACCCTAGGCCCTAACTCCTAAACCCGAGGCCCTAAACTCCTAAACCCTAGGCCCTAAAACCCAATGTCGAGGGCTGACCCTACGTGTTCAAAGGATCAGATCCCGATCGCCGTGCGCTCCATCGCGTCGCACCAGGCGCTCTTTTTTTCGGCCCAAAGCCCTAAACCCTAGGTTTAGGATTGAGGGTTTAGGGTTTAGGGTTTGGGGTTCAGGAATGAAATATGCAAGCTAGCTTTTTCCTTTTTCTCCTAGGTTGCCAGCACTGCGGGAACCCTGGCAAACCTTCAAGCACGTTGCAAGCCTCTTACGTGAGCGTCGTGCGGCTTGCAGGATTTAGGGTTTAGGGTTTAGGGTTTCGGGTGACGAGCAGGAAGGTGGTTTTAGAACCTAGGCTCTTGTGGGTGGTGGGGTGGGGGGGTTGCCGCGCCGGGCGGTGGACTTGGGGAGCGAGCCTAATGCAGTATGTTTGAGGAGGTCCCCGAACCCCCAAACCCTATACCCCTGAACCCTAAACCCTGAACCCTAAACCCCAAACCCGAAACCCCAAACCCTGAACACTGAAACCCTGCATCCCCAAACCCCGACTCCCTTCGCTATTGCGAGAGGCTTGCAGCAGCGTGCCCCGGGCATGGTGGGGGGCGCCTTGGCCCCTTTCAGAAGGCTTCAGGGTTTAGGGTTTACTGTAGGGTTTCGGGTTTAGGGTTTAGGGTTTAGGGTTTAGGCTTGGGGTTTAGGAATTAGGGTTTAGGGTTTCGCAGGTGTTTTGGGTTCGGGTTTTTTTGTGTTGAGGGACTGCTGAGGATTTGTACGCCTTTGGGTTTGGGGGCTTGTGCGCAGGGTTCGGATGTCGGTCCCCAAACCCTAAACACCCTAGACCCAAACCCTAAACCCCAAACCCCGAACCCCAAACCCCAAACCCCAAACCCCAAACCCCAAACCCCAAACCCAAACCCCAAACCCCAAACCCCAAACCCCAAGCCCTAAACCCTAAACCCCAAACCCTAAACCTTAAACAATAACCCTAAACCCTAAACCCTAAACCTTAACCTTAAACCTTAAACAATAACCCTAAACCCTAAACCCTACACCCTAAACCCTAAACCCTAAACCCCAAAGCCCGCCGCTGGGACCCCCCCTGCTCTTATTCCTCTCTTGTAGTTCTGAAAGAAGTAAAAAGCAAGAAAGCGCCCCTTGAGGGGGGTTTGGGGGGTGAACCCTAAACCCTAAATGAGAATAGTTTGGGTGGTTGGGGTGGGACTACATGCTAACGCAAGCGAGCGGCCCGGGTGCTTTTAGCACCAGCGAGCTTCCCTTCTATACACCCTAAACCCTAAACCCTAAACCCTAAACCTTAAACAATAACCCTAAACCCTAAACCCTAAACCCTAAACCCTAAACCCTAAACCCTAAACCCTAAACCCTAAACCCTAAACCCTAAACCCTAAACCCCAAACCCTAAACCCTAAACCCTAAACCGTAAACCTTAAACAATAACCCTAAACCCTAAACCCTAACCCTAAACCCTAAACCCTAAACCCTAAACCCTAAACCCTAAACCCTAAACCCTAAACCCTAAACCCTTAACCCTAAACCCTAAACCCTAAACCCTAAACCCTAAACCCTAAACCCTAAACCCTAAACCCTAAACCCTAAACCCTAAACCCTACACCTGCCCCTTTGTTTGAGCCCGACCGCCCAGGGGACGACATGTGGGGCCGACATGGCCATCGAAGTGCCCTTTTCCCGCTCCTTTGCAAGGTTTAGGGTTTAGGGTTTAGGTTTAGGTTAGGGTTTAGGGTTTAGGGTTTAGGGTTTAGGGTTTAGGGTTTAGGGTTTAGGGTTTAGGGTTTAGGGTTTAGGGTTTAGGGTTTAGGGTTGGCTCGTCATGCACCTGGTTTGCCGGATGGCCTGGGTCCCACAAGCGAGGGTTGAGGGTTCAGGGCAGGAGGCTCTCCGACTAAAGTTTCGTTTAGGGTTTAGGGTTTAGGGTTTAGGGTTTAGGGTTTAGGGTTTAGGGTTTAGGGTTTAGGGTTTTTCTGTTTTATGTAGGTCCACAATCGAGACTCTTACTGGAGGAATGCTATATGTGCAGTTCTCGTTGTCGCGTTTTGCTCTTTTTGTTGTCTTTCAGGGGGTGGCTTTATAGGGTTCTCAAGGGAGGGGGGTTCCAGGGGGCGGTAGGGACCCTAAACCCTAAACCCTAAACCCTAAACCCTAAACCCTAAACCCTAAACCGTGTCTAAGGGGGCGGTAGGTACCTAGGGAACCTTAGGGAAGCTTAGGGAGCCTTAGGGAGTAGTTGGGGAGGATTCCGGAACCTTGGGTTATACCACCTTGAGCCCCCCTCCCTTAGGAGCCCTAAACCCTAAACCCTAAACCCTAAACCCTAAACCCTAAACCCTAAACCCTAAACCCTAAACCCGAAACCCTAAACCCTAAACCCTAAACCCTAAACCCTAAACCCTAAAAACCCTGAACTGTAAATCCTAAAGTGTAAACCCTAAACCCTAAACCCTCAACCCTAAACCCTAGACCCTCCCGTCAGAACCCTTTTGTGGGTTGGGGTTTGCGGTTGAAAGGCTTGGTGCAGGGGGGCCCGTGCCGAGGTTGGAATCACGAGGAGTTCTACGATCCCACTCCGGATTGTTGGATGGAGAGCCAGATGTACCCAGGCGGTTTGGGGTTTAGGGTTTAGGGTTTCGGGTTTAGTGATTCAGAGTTTAGGGATTTTAGGGAATTAGGGGTTGAGGGTGCAGGGTTTGGAGTGTTCGGAGCCTCTTCCTGCGAGGGTCGCTGGTGTTTTTCCTGCACACTCCATGCAAATCCAAGGGTCGGTTTTTCTGCTTCCTACAAAGCCCTAGAAGGGTTTAGGATCTAGGCTTTAGGGTTCAGGGTTTAGGGTTCAGGATCTAGGGTTTAGGCTGGTCCAAACCCTGACAATTTCAAGCCCTGTCTGAACGGGCCCCCATTGCTGTGATGCTGCACTCGGGTGGACCGTGTCTCCGGTCCGTGACCGCGGTGTGCTGCGCTCGGGCGGACCCGGCGTAGGGGGGGAGGGGCGGCTCGCCGCGTCTTCTGCCCGCGACCCCCTTAGGCTTCATGGCCTGGAGACGGTTGTTTTGGAGTGAGACGATCCGCTCACCCGCGCGCTTTGCTCTTCCACGAGCGCTCTGATGCCCACACTTGCCCATCAGGTCTCCGTTTCGGCCTTGCGCCTCCCTCCGACGCTTCGATTCCTCCTTTCTTCTCCCGAGACGGAGAACATGTGTGATGCAGGCAATGTTGCTGCAGGTTCACATTTCAGATTGCACCCTTTTTGCAGAGTTTAGGCTTTCCTACCTATATAGTTCAGGCTCTAGGGTTCTAATCCCCCCCCCCCGAACAGTCGAAGCTGATATTGTCCGATCTTCCATGATTTTTACAGGGACTTAAGGACTGGGTCGGCAACCTTTAACCTTTTTGGGTTATGTAGAGTCCTACTATATATAAAAAAGGCGGGTCTGTTTGGGCGAGGGTATTCAGCCCCGAAGGGGATGAGTTGATATGAGACTCGAAGCGATGGAGAGGCCCGGCGATTGAATTTTCAGGCGCGCCGCGTGAGATATTCTTTCGACACCCGGGCTTCATTGCGGGCCCCACCGTTACAACATCGCATTTGTGAGACGCCACTTGTTTCAGATGAGTCGTAGCTTACCTTTGCACTGTGGCACTGCTGAGATTCCATCAAACAACGCAGATTTAGCATCCGCGATGTGTTTGGGCGATTTGTTGTTGGAAGAGTGGATGTCGATAGAAACATGCAATTGAAGGTGGTGATGGTGTCGAGTTTGCTAGATGCCTGCCAGCACTGCGTGCTGCAAACTTTTTTGAATACTGTTTGACAAAAGTTTTTCTTTGTTTTTCGCATTTATGTTTGAAACGTATCTTGTTTTGTCTTGCCATGGCCACGGTCGTTTGATGCTGTGCTGCGGATTGACATAGTCTTCCGCGTTTGGGAAGCGCACCATCAGTATCGCAATCAGCAGAGAGTGATGTGGCTGAAGACTTTGTGCTGGGCTCTTACTCACTCCATGCTAGATCCCATGCACTCTCATACGTGATTCTATCCCTGAACCCTGAACAGAACCCAACAAAAGCCCAAACCCACGACTCAGAACCCAAAAACCCTACTCATGAATACCCCTCCCCCCCCCCCCCCCCCCCCCCCCCCCCCCCCCCCCCCCCCCCCCCCCTCCCCCCACCCCGCCCGTGAGTCTTTGTGTGTGGCCCCCCGGCCCCCCCCCCCACCCCCCTGGTGTTGTCGCCCCCAACTGCCCCACTGTGACCAGAGGCGGCTTCCTCAAGACCAACGTGAAGCACGTCCAGTTCATCGAAGGCCGGGTTCTTTGCTTTTGGGGTTTAAGGTTTAGGGTTTAGGGTTTAGGGTTTGGGGTTTGGGGTTTGGGGTTTAGGGTTTAGGGTTAGGGTTTAGCGGGCTGGGGTTCAGTTATGGATGTTTTGTGTGCTTGTTTAGGGCTTAGGGAATCTTTGCACAGGCGTGGAGCTCTTTGACAACAAGTTCTTTGGCCTCTCGAACATGGAGGCGCGTACGTAGACAAGGGAGAGTTTGGGGGTTTCGAGTTCTTCGGGTTTAGGGTTTAGGGTTTAGGGTTTAGGGGTTCAAGGGTTTTGGAGTTTGGTGTTTAGGGGTTTGAGAGATTTTTGGGAATTTGGGAGTGGGGGGGGGGGGATCCGGTACAACGACCGGCGAAGAGCAAACGCCCCATTTTGGCCCCAGAGTTGTATTAGGGTTTAGGGTTTAGGGTTTAGGGTTTAGGGTTTAGGGTTTAAGGTTTAGGGTTTAGGGTTTAGGGCTTTGGGGGTTGGCTTTCGTTCATCCTGTGCCTTAAGGTTTTTAGTTGTGGGTCTACTTGCAGGATGGGGGGGGGGGGACTGCAAACCCTAACCCCTCCGCCCTAAACCCTAAACCCTAAACCCTAAACCCTAAACCCTAAACCCTAAACCCTAAACCTTAAACCCTAAACCCAAAACCCGAAACCCAAAACCTGCATGTTGATCCGAGGCAGGCGGCATGGACCCCATGCAGAGGCACATCATGGAGACCAGCTACGAGTCGCTCTTCAATGCAGGCCGTGGTCTTCCTACTCCTCAACCCTAAACCCTAAACCCTAAACCCTAAACCCTAAACCCTAAACCCAAAACCCAAAACCCAAAACCCTAAACCCTAAACCCTAAGCCCTAAGCCCTAAACCCTAAGCCCTAAGCCCTAAGCCCTAAACCCTAAGCGCTAAGCCCTAGCCCTAAACCCTAAACCCTAAACCCTAAACCAACCCTGAACCCCTAAACCCTAAACCTAAATGGATTCTGGGTGCCCAGGTCTAGAGACGGAAGGGTTCCCAAGACCAGCTATTTTTGTACCAAAAAAATATCCACTTTTATTATGGGTCCAACCAATCAAGTTGTTGGTATTTAGTATTAGGATGTACGAATAGGATCTAGGATTTAGGTTTTAGGCTTTAGGGGCTAGGATTTGGGATTTAGGATTTAGGGTTTAGGGGTTAGGATTTAGGGATTTAGGATTTAGGATTTAAGGTTTAGCCTTCAGGATTTGAGGTTTAAGAGGGTTTAGGATTCAGGCCTCCCTAAGATCAAGGAGAGTTGTAAGTGCGCGGTCTTTGGGGTTAGGGTTTAGGGTTTAGGGTTTAGGGGTAGGTTCGCAGACAAGCGCGGGCTCACCAATCGTTCGTTTGGTACGCCCTAAAACCCTAAACCCTACACCCTAAACGCCAAACCTCTAAGCCCTGAAGCCCCTAAGCCTCTAAGCCGTCTGAACCCCTGAACCCCTGAACGCCCCAAAATCCCAAACCCTTAGGCTCAAAATGGCCCAAGAACCTTATGTAACAAAGGCCATTGGGTCCAAAAGCCCTAAAGTAGGAGTCCTTAGGGTAAAAGCCTTACATTACAATCCCTCAAGCCCTTTAAACCCTTAGACCCCAAGCCCTTGTACCCCTAAACCCGAAACCCTTAACCCTAAACCCTAAACCCTAAACCCTAAACCCTAAACCCTAAACCCTAAACCCTAAACCCCAAACCCTAAACCCTAAACCCTAAACCCTAAACCCTAAACCCTAACCCTAAACCCTAAACCCTAAACCCTAAACCCTAACCCCTAAACCCTAAACCCTAAACCCTAAACCCTAAACCCTAAACCCTAAACCCTAAACCCTAAACCCTAAACCCTAAACCCTAAACCCTAAACCCCAAAATCCCCAAGAAGCCCTTACAATCCGGCAGGCTACCGCAAGGCAACGCTGATGCGAGCCTACATCGCCGTCTTCGTGGGCTGCACCAACCCCGAGTTCATGTGAGCCCCCAAAAGGGTGGTGGTGGTTTAGGGTTTAGGGTTTAGGGTTTAGGGTTTAGGGTTTGGGGTTTAGGGTTTAGGGTTTAGGGTTTAGGGTTTAGGTTGTAACCCAGAACCCACCCCACCCGAGCCCTCAGTCTCAGTCGCTGACGACAAAACCCTAGACCCTGAAGTTAGGATTTGGGGTTTAGGGTTTATGGTTCAGGGTGGTTTAGGGTTTGGGGTTTGGGGTTTAGGGTTATGGGTTTAGGGTTTGGGGTTTAGGGTTTAGGGGTTGGGTGTAAATCCACCCAAAGATCCGGGGCTTGGACAGGTACGTCCCCCACGAAGCCACGGCCCTCTCCGGCGCTGGGGCCTCGCAGGCGCGGAAGGGTTCCTGGGTTTGAGGTTTTTGAGGGGTTTAGGGTTTAGGGTTTCGGGTTTCGGGTTTAGGGTTTAGGGTGTGAGGGGTGGAAGGGGTTCAGGGTCAGAATTTAGGCTTTAGGGTGCACAGTTTAGGGTTAGGGTTTAGGGTGCAGAGGTTTTTGGGTTTAGGGTTCAGGGTCTAGGGGTATGAGGTTTAAAGTAGGGGTTTCGGGGGTAACCCTAAACCCTAAACCCTAAACCCTAAACCCTAAACCCTAAACCCTAAACCCTAAACCCTAAACCCTAAACCCTAAACCCTAAACCCTAAACCCTAAACCCTACACCCAAAGCCCTTCAACCTTTAGGGGTCTTTAGGGGGGCTTGGAGCTCAGGGGGCTAAGGGCTTCATGGGCTTCAGGAGGGCCTTCAGTTGGCTTAGGAGTTGTTAGGGTTTGGGGTTTTAGATGGGTTCAGGCGTTTAGGGTTTAGGCATTTCTGACTCGGAAGGGTTTGGAGGGTCTGGGCTTATTCCTGGTTTGCGGGTTTAGGTTTTGGGGAGCTTTAGGGTGTGACGGGATGGAAGTCTTTAGGGCTTAAGGGGTTAAGGGGGTTTACGGTTTCGGGTTTACTGGGTATAGGGAGAAAAGGGTTCGAATGGCGTTCAGGGTTGAGGAGGTAAAAGGTGTTAATGGTTGAATGGCTGGAAGGTCAGGCATTAGGAGGTTTAGGGTTGGAAAGCTCAGAGGCATTGATGGGTTTGGGGAGGGGTGTACAATCCAAGCGGTTTTAGGGTTTGCGTTCGAGTTTTGGGGTTTCAGGGTTGTGGGATGACACTTTAGCGCTTTTAGGGTTTCAAAGCTCAGAGGTTTCGTGTGTAAGGCGCTAAGTGTGCAGGGTTGCCTGGGGTTCAGGGCTTAGGGTTTGGGGTTTAGGGTCTAGGGTCTAGGGTTTAGGGTTTGGGGTTTGGGGTTTAGGGCTTAGCAAGGTTTTGGGGTCGACGAGGTTCTGTCGTGTGTTCGCTCGAGGAGTGCTGCATACAAAGAGGTTTAGGGCTTAGGGTTTGGGGATTAGGGTTGTATACTACACCCCCCCCAAACCCTAAGCCCTGAACCCTAAAACCTAAAACCCTAAAACCACCCCAAACTCTTTGAGGGTTTAGGGCTAGGGTTTAGGTTTAGGGTTTAGGGTCTAGGGTTTAGGGTTTTAGGGTTTAGGGTTTAGGGTTTAGGATTTAGGGGCCCCAAGCCTAAACACCCAAAATCCTCAACCCTAAGCCCTGAACCCGAAGAGATGCCCAGCTCTGCCAACGCAGGCCATTACCTCCAACCGCGTCTCCTTCTTGCCCCTCAGCCGTTTGGGGGGGGTCTAGGGTTTAGGGTTTTCGGGTCTAGGGTTTAGGGTTTCACGGTTTAGGGCTTTAGGGTTTAGGGTTTTCGGGTTTAGGGTTGGGGTTTCGAGATGTCAAGTTGCGTTGTCGAGGCGTTCCGGGTTTAGAGGGTTTCCCTCATCGCCCCAAATTCCAAGGATTTGGGGTTAAGGGGGGTTATGCGAAACCCTAAACCCCAAGACATCTGGGGAACTTCCCCTAAACTCTGAACCCTATACCCGAAACCCTAAACTCTAAACCCCAACCCTTTCATCCTAAGTCCTAAGCTGTAAGTAGGCGTTCCCAGAGCCGCCAACTTCCGAATCGGTTTAGTGTTCAGGGCTTCTTGTTCTGGGTTCCTCAGATCAAAACCAAAAGTAGGGTTTTGGTGTTTTTTTTTGTTTTTGGGGGGGGTTAGGGTACCATAAGGCCTACACCCTAACCCCTAAACTCTAAACCCCAAACCCACACACCCGAAACCCTAAACCCTAAGCTATGGACACTGAAGTTTAGGGTTTGAGGGGGTTCTGGCCCAACTCAAGCCCCGAATTCGGCAAAAGGGTTGAGGGCTGAGGGTTTAGGGTTTAGGGTTTAGGGTTTAGGGTTTAGGGTTTAGGGTTTAGGGTTTAGGGTTCAGGGTAGCGGAGCCCTTCTGCTCTCATCGGGAGTCGGTGGCCCTACGTCCTGAGGCGGCCGCGGGGCCCCAGGAGCCGACCAAACCACGCCTGGCTCCACAAAGATCCCACCCCCCCCTGAGGCCCTAAACCCCCGAAACCCTGGTTTAGGGTTTAGGGTTTAGGGTTTAGGGTTTAGGGTTTAGGGTTTAGGGTTTAGGGTTTAGGGTTTAGGGTTTAGGGTTTAGGGTTTAGGGTTTAGGGTTTAGGGTTTAGGGCCCTAAACTCCAAGGGGTGTTGCATGGTGCCCTTAGCCTTGATTCAAAGGGTTCTCTAGTATATGTAAGGGTTCCCCAATGAAGGGCCACGATTAAGGGGACCATGTAGCCTCAACCCGAAACCTCAACCCCTAAAACCTCGACCACAAACCTCAACCCAAAAACCTTCGACCCTCAACAAACCACTAAACTCCACAGCCCGAAGCCCTAAACCCTAAAACCCTGAGCCCTATCACCCGAAAGCCTAAAAATCCTCAGGCCCTAAACCCTCCACCCTGAAAAGCCCTGCCTCTCTAAACGAGCGGTTCAAAGGTGCCGGAAAAAAGCTTCTAAAGCTCCAAGAGGTGCCCCTAAACCCTAAAGCCCTGAAGGCTTGAACCCTAAAGCCATCAAGCACCCTAGAGCCCGCGCGCGCGAGCGGCTTTGCATACGGAGTGGGTCGCCGCGAGAACTGCTGCCGACCCGTTTGATTCGGAAGGTTGGAAGGATGGTGGCCTGCAGCACACATCTTGCGGAGAGTACCTGGAATACGCCTGGGCCACGAACATGAACGTGACGCCTGCGCCGGTTGGAATTCTAGAGCCAACGTTGGTAAAGCGAGAAAGCATTGAGCAGAAGCGACCAGGGCCCGAAGTAGGGTTTAGGGTTTAGGGTTTAGTTTTTAGGGTTTAGGGTTTAGGGTTTAGGGTTTACGGCAGAAGAACAAGGGACGCACAACTGCTCGAGCGTGGCGCGTCAGGGGACTTCCAGGCTGTCGCGCTCTTCAAGAGGCGACACCTCACATGGCCTCTGCCCTGTGCATGCGGGGGGTCATGGAAAAAACTTGCCCTCTGACCTTCGCAATTCCTAGACCCTCAACCCTCAAACCCAAAACCCCTAAAACCCTAAGCCCTAAACCCCAAACCCCTAAAACCCTAAAACCCTAAACCCTAAACCCTAAGCCCTAAGCCCTAAACCCTAAACCCTAAACGCCCCCCAAGAGCCCTTAAGGCTGGGCATCATGGGCCCCTCCACGTCCATCGACTGCGACCTCGCCTCGGGGGCCATGGCGCTGTGCCTCGGCAACTCCGACGCCCGGCCGAAGGAAGGGTTTAGGGCTTAGGGTTTAGGGTTAAGGGTTTAGGGTTTGGGGTTTGTGGTTTGGGGTTTGGGGTTTGGTGTTTAGGGTTTAGGGTTTCGGGTTTCGGTTTCAGGGTTTAGGGTTCAGGGTTCAGAGAGTTTAGGGAGTTTAGGGAGTTTAGGGAGTTTAGGGAGTTTAGTTAGGGAGTTGAGGGGTTGAGGGAGTTGAGGGAGTTTAGGGTTTTTAGGGTTTAGGGAGTTTAGGGAGTTTAGGGAGTTTAGGGAGTTTAGGGAGTTTAGGGAGTTTAGGGAGTTTAGGGAGTTTAGGTAGGGAGTTTAGGGAGTTTAGGGAGTTT